TGCCTGCGGGCAGCGCGCCCCAGCGGCGACCCGCGGCTCCAGCGCGCCGCCCTGGGGGGCAGGCTCTTCCGGGGCTCGGGAGGAAAGCGGGACGCGGCCGGGAGCGGGCGCGCGGCTCTCCCGGCTCCAGGCCCTCCGCCTCCGGCCCCAGCGGCCCCGGGCTGTCGTCGCGTCCAGCCCAGGGACGGTCAGGCGGCCACCGTTCTGAGGTCACTGGGACCGTCCACGTCCTTATTTACGAATGTCTGCACAAGTTCCAGAAGTTCGAAATTACTATTTTAAAACTGGGAAAAAAAAAACAAAATGCCCAACAGAAGTGAGGAAAAGGATGCGAATTAGGAGTCCGGCTCTCTAAGTCGGACTAGAATTGGGAAGGATTCTTTAATCAAAAACAAGCAAGTTCTACGTTTAAAGGACAGCCTGCTGGGTAGAATCGAGTTACTCAGCAAAACCTAACCGGTCAGTTCTGTTCCAGGACGTACTGGTATGCGAGGGTGGCGCACGGGCGCGCCTGGAAGGGAAGCAGGGGTGGCGAGCCGCCCCGGGGTCAGGGCCCGCACTCCAATTGTAAAACGCCTGCCGGTGGCACGTTGAACACCATCAGCAGCAAAAAGTTACTACTTTTTTACTGGGAGCCACAGAAAAGTTAGTTTTTAAAAAGATTTATTACTAAACTGGACCAGAGAAAGCTACCCACCAGGTCTAGGACTCGAACCAGTTAACGATGGGGGAGTCCAGCGCCTTAACCACGCCGCTTGCTGACCCCAAAATTAATAATTTTTTTTTTTTTTGGTGTGTGAGCAGTATTTTTGCTATAGGGCACATGTGCTCACCAGACAGAAAGTAACACCCCCCCCCCAGGGTGGATGGCAATGCCACGATCCTTCATTCTCCTTTCTGGATTTTGGGCATGCACACACAGGCTCCTGGCATGAGGATTAAGCCACTGGTTCTAGGATTTGAACCTCGGGAGTCCAGCCACATGGGAGGCCATTATGCCATCTGCTGATCTGGAGAGGTTATAATTTAGTCAGAAAAAAATGAACCCTTAGTCAAGTAATTGGTTCTATACAAATGTGGTAGAAAGGTCCCGTTTTCTTTGGTGGAGGCAGTGGGCCACCAAGGCCAAAGGGCCTGGGGCTCAGTCAGCATGCAGTCCTTCTGGGTCCCGTCTTTAGTCCTACACCGCTCTTGGTGGGCAAGTACCCAGGGACACATTTTGCGTTCTCTTCAGCAAGCAACTAAAGCAGCAGTTTCTATACATCTCGGCCTGATTTCCAGAAACATCCCTGAGATCCGTTCAGTATATGGAGTCCGCATCTCAACCACCAAGCCATCTGCCTGCTGCCGTTTCCTAATACAAATGTAGACACTCAGTGGTTCAGGACTGGATGGTGGGTGGGTAGTGGCAGCAGGCCACACTCCGCAAAGGGAGGTCCGAGCTCACTCCTGGGGACCCCTGAGCATGCTGGGCACACAGGCACCCATGATCCAGGGGCAGCTGGGGGGTGGGTCACCACATCAAGAGCCTGGTGGGGACACTTACCTGTCTCTCGATCATGGAAGAAATAAAAGGGTTCAGGCCTTGGGTCCGGCGAATGGCTTAATGGTTAGGTCACTGGACTTCCACATAGTTGAGTAATTGACTACCGCTCGAGTCCTAGACCCAGCAGCTTAAAATTCATGTCAGGCATGTGTGTGCACGTACCCCAAATCCCGAGAGAATGGAGAAGAGATTGTGGCATGGCCATCCCTCCCTGGGGGGTGATTTCTCATTTTCTGTCTTTGGTGAGCTCATGCACCCTATAGCAAAAATATCTTATAAGAAGGACTAAAGAAGTCTTGAAGAAAATCTACAAACTGCCAAGAGCATCCCCTCCTCCTCCTCTGAGCTGTCCTGTGACATGGCAGAAACTACTCAAATCAGAAAAAGAGGGGTTAAGAGCTAAAAAGATTCACTCAAATTTGAGTGGTGAGAGGCTATTTCACCACCCATAATGGGCTATGCAAGTCAGCAAAGTCTCATGTAGTGGCCACTTCCAGGAATATGAATCGCTGTTCAAACAGTAACACACATTGAAGGTCACTATGAAGAAGTTCAGTCAAGAGCAGACACTTAACACAGGGCTTTAATGTAACACCATTCAGTAACGTGACAATTTGAAAAAAGGGGAGAGTACATTGTGGGTAAGAAAAATAGAGGAACACATCTAATGGAGAGGGGGCATTTTACAGCAACGGGAAGGGCCACCAGCACGTCACATCCGAACATAAGTGCCTTTTAAGAGCTGAAAACTGCTGCTGGTCATTCCTGAATATATCAGACATTTAATGAAGAGGCTGTACCTTGAAAAACAAAAACCGAAACCAGAGAACCCAGAAAAGGTGTTTTGAACAAACTGCCAAATAACCCAGGAAGGCAATGAGCACTGGTGGACTCATCTGTCCTTCCGAAGCCCCACTGGAAGGCATGGGCACACCCGGGAGGGAGGAGGCCAGGTGTGCCCGCATCCCGAGGGGGGCCTGCAGGCTGCCCCAGGTCTTGCTAAGTAACTGTTTATTCACACTCAGTACATTTGGGAACGTCTGCTACAAAGCTAAGGTCACTGTGACAACAGATGGAAAAGAATAAAGCACTCAACAGAAAGAAAAATGCATCTCAGCCTCAAAAAAAAAACAAAAAACTGAAGATAAGCGAAATCAGTGGGTATCACCTTCACCTTTTACAAATGTGCTTCTCACCCAGCGTCCCCCAATATAAACACTGTGGAGTGTTTACATGTTCAGTGCAAGAGACGGCATCATCAGTACACACGTGAAACGCCTCAGAGAAAGAGTAACGCTAAAGCAACATTTAACCCCCAAATGTTTCCGTGTGGCGTAATAACGTTACACTACCATGGCAGGGGAGAGGCTCTGCTAGCACCCATCTGCATTCCACAAGAAAAAACAAACCTAAGATCACTTTTTGTTTAATTCTACAACCCACATAAAAAAAAAAATTTGAACAAGACTGCTTTATTGTGTAATTTAAAACCCAACTGTTACATGAACTGAAAATGAAGACAGGGTATTTAGCAGCTACAAGAACCGCCTCATGCTGTATGTCGCCCTCCCATAAATAACTCTAGTCTGTGCTCAGTTCCAGTCACTGTGGAGCTGGCTCACCTCTGGATGAGACTGTCTTTACACAGAGAAAGAGAAATGGATAAAACTGAACGGTTGTATTCTGTCCTGTCCTTTGGCTCTGGAAAGGGGTGGGTCTGCTTCACAAAAAGAAACACACGTAATCACAGGGGAGCGGGACACTGCAGAGCTGCTAAGGATCTTCGGCAACGGACCGCAAGCTGAGCTGTGAGGCAAGTGCACAGCAGCGGGGGAGGAAGGATGGAAACATCCACTCTCAGAGTTCACATGCCATCAGCCACAGAAGGCTGGAGGCCACACTCGCTGCTTGCAAAGGCTAACTGCTGACGGCTAACTGCTGAGGGCCACGGGGAACCACCTCCCCAGCTGGTGGAAAGCTGCCCGGGAGGGAGCAGCTCCGAGAGTGACAGAACACACACTTTATGGTCTAAACAACACCAAGTGGAAAGGATTTTTTTTTCTTTTTGTATGTCTTTTTAATACAACATAAATGGAACTTTTATGTAAATTTGGGCTTCTATCCAATCTCTTCCCTCAATTTCCTTCGAAGAACTGAGTGATGGAAGCAGCAAAACAAGATTATAACCACAAATGACCATACTTAACATGATTATTAAGGGACAAAGACACTCGAATGTTTTATAATACCAAACTTTAAAAAAAAAAAAAAAAAAAAAAACCTGTTTAAAAAAACGCAATTCACCCCCGGGGAGCCGAGGAGGCGGCTGCTGGTCAGGGCCCTGGACTTCTCTGGAACTGCTGACATTTTCTCGCAAGCAGAGAGGAAGATGGAAAGGTCAGGGAGAAATGGGGAGGGGGTCTGCTGTGGGGAGCCACCAACTCCGTGGGGGCACAGAAAGTGCAATCATCCCCCGTGGAGGAAATTCTCCCCCCAGTGGCTTGCTTCTAAACAGGATATTACTTGGATTTCGTTGATTTCCCTTCTCTCTCGCTCACTCTCAAAAAAAAAAAAAAAAAAAAACACCTGTTTTAGAAACTGCAATTCATCCCCCTAGCCTTTCTAAATGTCGGTGTTATTTCTGCATGAACAGATTAATATTTTAAATTAAGCCAAGATTTTAAAGACTGGCAAAGTTCTATCATTCTATTTTAAAAAAACAAAGATGTTTAAGAACAAAAAGAAAAATACAAGTTAGTTGCTTAATGTTACATTTCACAACCATTATGTTAAATGTTTTCTTTTCTACAGAAACAAGGTCCTTTATGTCACAACTGCAGTTATGTACTGCTAGGTGTTTAAAACTACAGGGACTAGTGTTCGGCTGGAACCTGTGATGTGACGGCTTGAGGTTTTCTGAGCTGCAGCCTAGAGTGTGCCAGGCCCTCTCTAGAACCACACTTGCAGGGCAGGGGAGGGAGAGGAGATCACAGATCAAGTTCTTAAGATTGTTTCACTCTCTTCGTGGCTTTCTGTTTCGTGGTGATCTGTTCAAAATTTCATCCTCCTATTGGTTAAAAAGAAAATAAGTTCACTATAATTATCACATTTTAAAAAGTTCATATTTTCAACATCGGCCAAGCTGAGGATATCCCATCTGAGAAAAAAGAGAAGAAAAATTATTGGAAAATGCCCCCAAAACAATGGTTGTGTCAGAGGTGGTGAAATGACGTACATTCTAGTTTTGCCTTTTTTGTTTTCATGAGCATAACTCTTGATCTAACCCGTGAACATTTTCTTAAGGGTTCAAACACCGTGCTTTCCCAAGTTATCATCTTGCTTAATGCTGAACAGGCGACACCTGGCCTACAGGCACACGAGATCGATTTTAAGGCTGCGAAACCTCCTATCCAAGAGGGTCACAAGCTCCAGTCTCTATTCTATCATGAAGTCTTAAGACTTTTCCCCTGTGAAAACACTCCCTTTACCTAATGGTGCTGGCCACTTCTGTGTGCAGCAATGTGGGGACTGAGATGTGGGGTGTCCGGCCAGGGCAGTACAGGCAGCAGGGTGTGGCTGCGTGAAGCTCAAGATGTGTGGGAGGCCCACGTTCAGTTCCTGACCAACGTGCAATGGGCCCGTGCCTGTGGTCCCAACCGGGAGGCGAGGCCCTGTCAAAAACGCCCATGTTGGCGCAGTCATAGCACAGGGCACTGCCACAATGCTGGAGCCATGTGGAGGGGCAAGATCGGTCGCCAGTCAGCCCAAACGCTCCAGGGGCAAGTACATGTCTGGGATCCCAACTAGCAGGGAAGACTGCAGTGTGAGACCCTGTTAAGGATGTGTGTCTTTCTCACTCTCTCTCTCAATAAATAATAAACTTTAAATGAAAAATGTCTGCCTTGGGACCAGTGGTTGGCATAATATTATGTCGCTGGACTCCCATGTAGTTGACCGCAGTTCAAGTCCCGGACCTGGTGGCTTAAAACTCACGCCAGGCACCTGTGTGTGCGTGCCCAAGATTCCAAGAGAACGGAGGAGAAGGGATTGCAACGTGGCCATCCCCCTGGGGAGTGACTTCTCGCTTTCTGTCTGTCTGGTGAATACACGCACCCCATAGCAAAAATCTCCTTAAAAAAAGCCTGCCTCTCTCTCATTAAAGAAAAAAGGATGTGAGACACAGTCCCTACCTTAAGACCTACTTCTATCAACTGAAACAAAATGTACCTACTAAAGACACAGACAAGACGCAGACGGCACTGACCTTTACCAACAGGAAGGCAGAGCTGTCATAGCTTTCCCGCAACAGACCACGAGACCCCACTGAACGGCGCTCCCAGCAGCCCTTGTCTCCACTCTCTACCCTGACCACACGGGCCTCTGGAGGATCACTTCTGGTCTGAACACGGGCTGTTCCCTCTGCCTCAAACGCTGGTCCCACTGACATCCCCACAGAAAAGTCCTTGAGCTCCTTCAAGGGTTTGTTCCACTGTCAGACGGTCATTTTCCCAGCCAGGCCCCTAACGATGAACCCGCCCGCCTCCAGCAGGGCCAATACCTTCCCTACCCTACTTCCCCCCTCATTACTTCCTACGCACGGTGTCCCTCCCTTCCAGGTAATACCTGCCGCTCCCTGCCCATGGCTGGCCCGGGATGGTGCTCAACAAGTGCTGGTGAATGAGTAGGCTAAGTAACCCAGGAGCCACAGGCCAAGAGTTCGGAGTGCAGCCACTGTGCAAGATCACTCAGGGCAGTGCAAGGCGGCAAGCGAGACAGACTGTCTAGAATCCCCACAAAGGGTGCTGCGTGGCGCGAGAACTCAGGCACCGGCACCCAGCTGGCTAGCTGGCTACAGCTCAAGGCCTGGGCCTGGTGGCGTGCTTTCTCGCTTTCCCTTACTCTCTCTCTCTGGCCAAGTTAAAATAGTAACAAATAGAATTTAATAAGTTAATAATTAAAAATAACAATAACTGGGACCAGTAGTTAGCATAACGGCTATGTGGCTGGAATCCCACGTAATCGATCGTGGTTTGAGTCCTGGACCGGGTGGCTTTAAGCTCATGCCGGCGCGTGTGCGTGCGAGCCCAAGATCCCGATCCCAAGAGGAGAACGGAGGAGAAGGGACTGTGGCGAGGACATCCCCCCCCGGGGGATGATTTCTCGCTTTCTGGCTTTCTGTCTCTCTGTCTCTCTCTCTTTCTGGTGAGTGCACACGTCCTATAGCAAAAACCTCTCCAAAAAAAAAAAAACCCCAAACAAACAGAAGCCTAAAGTGCGGGCCAGCAGGCTGTGTGGTGGTTACGGTGCTGGACTCCACATGACCGACTGAGGGCCCAGTCCTGGATGTGGTAGCTTGTTTTGTCAACCCTAACCCCCGTGTCTCTCTCTGGTGACTGCACATGCCCTATAGCAAACTTTGATGATGATAATATTTTTAAATACTAATAATAATGTGAATTGAGCCAGCAGGTGGTATGGTGGCTGGGATCCTGAACTCCCACATGGCCAACTGAGGTTTGAACCTGGAACTGACAGCTTGCTTTCTTACTCCCTCCCCCTCTGGTGAGTACATGTGCTCTAAAGCAAATTTTTAATGATAACTAATTAACTTAGTAACAATACTAATTCTCTAGAAAAAATGTTTAGGAGCCAGCACATGGCGCAATGGTTATGTTGGTGGGTCCCCACATAACTGATTGCAGTCTGAGTCCAGGACCTGGTGGTTTAAAACTCACACTGGGCATGTGTGTGTGCACGTGCCCAAGACCCCAAGAAAAGAATGGAGAAGGGATTCTAGCGTGGCCACTCTTCCTGGGGGTGATTTCTCACTTTCTGTCTCTCCAGTGAGTATTAGTGAGGTGTAGCAAAAATCTCTCTAAAAAATGTTTTTTAATTTAAAATAAAAAATAATAAAAGCAAAAATATCTCTTAAAAAATGAAGCAAACGAAGAAAGCACGTAAAGCACTTCATTATTTCTCCTTACAGCGTTCTGCTTATCCCCAAGACCACTTTCACTCCCCCAAGTAAGAGCGTTTTCTCTCGCCAAAACCCGTAGTTTAAAATGACCACGGACAGCGCTAGCGTGCATCACCAAGACTAAGACCCCCTCCTGAACCACACCGGGTAACAGACTTGCTGCAGCCACAGCTGCTGTAAATCACCCTGTGCAAATATCCCTCTTAGGTAAATATCCCTTCACTTAGCTGCTTCGAAATACAGAAATTTCCCTTTACCTCTGGTTTAGGTTTTCTGTCTTCCTCCTCTTGACTGGCAGTGCCACCATCGTCCTCAGCATCACTTTTCTGTTTCTCTTCTACAGAGAGAAAGGCAGACACCTGAGCACAACCCCAGGGTCCTCGGTGACCAGACATCGGGATCGCGGCAGGCTCAGGGTCTGAGACAACCTTCACCAACAGGATGGTACAGCTCACAGCCCCGGCTCAGCGTTCTAGGGCTCTGCTCCTTACCAAGCTTCTCTTCGCCTTCCTCCTCCTCGTCCGCCTTGTCCTTTTCCTCCTCCTTCTCCTCCTCTTCCTCCTTCGCATCTGGCTGAGGAGCGTCGGTCTTCTTGTACTCTGCGGCACTGGGCTGTTTCTGAAATGGCCCAAACGCAAATCGATCCCTGACCGCATGCGCTCCGTAGCACATACCCACCCAGCACCTGTAGGGAGTCCTGGACAGCCAGATCCACACCCTCCCACCGCAGTACATGGAGGCACCACAGTGCCAGCAACCGGCAGCACAGGTGGAGCTCTCGTGCAGTTTCCTCTTTCTTTATTTTTTGATTTGACCAGAGAGAGAGAGAGGGTAAGAGTGAGAGAAGAGGAAATGAGAAAGCAAGCCACCAGATTCAGGATTTGAACTCTGGTCGGCCATGTGGGAGTGTCCAGCACCTTAACCACCATGTCACCTGCTGGTCCCCAGAGCTTCCTCTTTGCAGAGTGCTTAAAGGTGGTTCAGGTAGAAGGAACAGCAAGAAAAAATGAAAGTAGATGTCCCGACAGTCCACATAGGGGACCAGAGGGTGATACAACAATTAAGTGCAACACCCTGCGAGGCCAACCCACGTGGCGAGGTCTGTGCCCAGGACCTGGGGCTGCTGACGCTGTGGGTGGGCTATGGCCTCCTGACTTTGCTGGGGGTGTTGCCTCTCTCACTCAAGGGAAAAATATATAAAAACGCATAGAGTTACGCCAGCCCCACACCTTAGTCATCAAGGGAGCCGACTCCCACAAGGCCAAGTGCAGTTCAAATCCCAGTCTAGGCAGCTTGAAAAACATACCATGTGTCCCAAATGCCAGTAGGATGGAGAAAGGAAGAAGGGACTGTGACACGACCAGGACTCATCAGCCTCCCTCTACCCCACCCAGTTTCTGTTTCCCTGTCAAACACACATATCCTCCAGTACTTAAAAATACATATAGTGGGACAAGCAGATGGCATAATCATTAATGTTGCTGGACTCCCACATACTCTCAACCATGGTTTGAGTCTCAGACCTAGTGGCTTAAAACTCATGCCAGGCATGTGTGCATGGGTGCCCAAAATCCTGAGAGGAGAAGGAAGGAGGGATTGCGGTGTGGCCATCCCCCCCGGAGAGGTGATTTCTCGCTTTCTATCTCTCTTCAGCGAGTGTACGTACCCTGAAAACAAAAATCCCTCAAAAAAAAAAAAAAAAAAAGAGGGTGATTTCTCGCTTTCTGTCTCTCTGTCTCTCTATGTCTTTCTGGCAAGCACACACACTCTATAGAAAAAAAAAAAAAAAAAAAAAAAGATGCATACAATCGCTTTCAACACGGCACAGATATATGAACAGTGAAGAGAGGTAAGCCTGGAAAAAAGAACTCTGAATCAGGTAACAGAGTGCTTGGCAGGCGAGGCAGGCCGAATTCCCACTTTGCAGAAGTGGAGCCTGAGAGAGCTCCTTTGCTGTGACTGAACGCCCTGGGTCACAGGAGTGCCCGAGGCCGTGGTGCCCCAGTCCTGCAGTGGCGGGTGTGGACGAAGGGCAGTGAGCACGCAAAGCTCACCATGACCAGCAGCACAGGGAGACCCAGCTAGGAAGAAAGGCGGGTTTGTGGCCAGAATCTGGTTTGAGGAAGCTGCTCCAGATCGAGAGTGACAGAGCCGGGAGACACAGCAGTGAGGCAAAGCCCCCCCCCACTGCACACAACCGTGGCCGCAGACGCAGAGGCAGCTTGGAAGTCCACCCCAAACGTGGCCCAGTCCTTACTGGGCTGCTACTGGAAACGTCTCAGGCAGTATGTCAATATTTTAATTACTTAATGTCATAAGTGTTGTTTCTAAAAGTGATTTTAAAACAATCCATACCTTTCCAGAACAGCAGAAGAGGATGACAAGGAACACCGGCAGGGCGACGGTCAGAATGTAGACCACCCAGAGCCACGGGCGCTCCTCAGCCGCCTCGAGCATCTGCTCCACCACGCCTGGCTGCAGGGAGACGGGGCTGCTGAGCGGCCGGCTCTGGACCTGGGCATGGCGCTGCCCAGGCCCCCCGGGTCTGAGAAGTCGTGCTTGCAGTGCGAAAGGAGAGCTGGACAAACGCCTCCCTTCCCACGCTGTTCTCACCAATGTGCGAGCTCACTCTGAGCCGGCAAAGCAGGCTAATTCATCATCTGCGAAAGGCTCCCTAACCTCGGAGCCAGTGACGAAGAGCTTCGTCTCAGTTAGGCGCTCTAGGCCCCCGGATTAGCCACATGCCCTGCTGTTCAGGGCTGGTAAACCGAGATTCACCATCGGCGAGTGCATCGCAGGGCTGGCTCCATGGCATAGGGATGACACTGCTCCCGAGAAGCCAGACCCCCGCATGGCGACAGTGGTGCAGCCCCCAACCTGGCCATCCCGAGACATACCAGACGCTCCCCCCTCACAGGAGCACGCGTGTGCTGTATTATGAATAAAAAAGAAAACCAAAAACCAAAAGCATCCACTACAGGGCCAGGTCGTGGCACGTTACTAATGCAGCTCGACTTACATGGGAAAAGAACTGGGGTCACATCCCAGGACCTCCCTGAGCAGGACCCAGACCGGAAGAGCAGGGTGGGCGTGGACTGGGGCATCGGAGTGCCTGTCTATCCGCCGGGGCGCCTGTCTATCCGCCAGGGCGCCTGTTTATCGCGAGACACAGAAAAAGGAACACAAACGCAAGGTGCCACCCTGAAGATGCAAACGCGAGCACAGACCTCGGCAGCCCCGTCGGCAGCTTTCTTCAGGCCCCATCCATCGTTGGCCCAGTCGTCAACGACTCTTCGATCACCGCAAATGATGAAGTTGTCAAAAAAGATGTCAGAGGTCATGGACCACAGTTCCAAACCGATAGCACTGAAAGGAGTCATTCTGAAAGGCTCCAGGTCCTCAAAGAAATCTGGATTGGGTATTTTCCTGGGTTTCCAGATACCCTAGAAAAAATATTTTAAAAAATTTTAGATAACAGTCAACAAAAACATACGGGGAGCCTACCCGGAGAGCAGGTCTGCGTGCTCGATGACGGCAACGCTGACTGGGACACTGACGAGGGTGACAGAAGAACACACACTGCCAACAGCCCCCGTGCTCTGTTCCCACAGCCAGCGCCCAGGACCAGCAGGCTCGGCCCAAACCCACACTCATTGTCCACAGTTGTGCCCAAGGCTCCACTCCTCCCACTGCTGATGGAGCAGGAGCAGAAGCCCCGCAGGTCTCTGGAGGGGCGACTCAGACGGGACCGACGAGGTCTAGGACCAGCGACCTGCCTGGAGGAAAACCTCCTTCCTATACCCCGACCTGTGACAAGGGCGGTCACCACAGCACTGGCCCCGAAGAGTGGAGGGTGCTCCTTGCTCACTCCCTCGTGTGCACGAGCACAGCTCTGTAACAAGTAACGAGAAAACCTTAGAGGAAACGGGTTAGCCTCTGTGGCAGGCAGCAGCGCACTGAACCACAGAGATGGACGCCACAGGGCAGTGGAGGCCTGGAGTCCCTGCCCAGCAGGTCCAAAACAAACGTATGCCCAAGAGTCGCACCACCTGGAGTGCAGGGTGGGGTCCACGGCACGGCCAGGCCCTGCCGGCAGTGCTTCTCTCCCTCCTCCTGGACACACACGCACATGTTCTATCATGAATCAAGTGAAAAAAAAGAGTAAGACAAAAAATAAAAGCAAAAATGGCAGTCTGAATAGCCATTAACAAAACAGCTAAAGGTAATTTTTAAAATGCAATTATTGCTACCTTATTGTTTACCATACAATTGAAAGCACATTTAAAAGGGCTGCCAGGTAGCACGTGATTAAAGTGCTGGGTTCCCAGATGGTTGACTGTGGTTCAAGTCCCAAACCCAGCAGCTTAAAACTCACACTGGGCAAGTGTGCATGCATGCCCAAACCCCAGAGAGGACAGGAAAGGGGAAGAGACTGTGGCATGGCCATCCCCCGTAGAGGGGCATTTCTCATGTTATGTCTCTCTGTCTCTGTCTCTCCAGCAAGCGTACACAACCTGTAGCAAAAATATCTCTCAAAGGAAAAAAAAAAAAAAAAAAAATTTCAAAGGGGCAGAAGGTGGTGTGGTGGTTAGGGTCCTGGACTCCCACATGGCTGGCCAGTTTGGGTCCTGGACTTGGCAGCTTAAAAAAAAAAAAAAATCACACTAGACCTGGTGGCTTCTTTCTCATTTTTTCTGTGTGTCTCACTAGGAAGCATGCAAGCCCTGTAGGAAAATTAAATGATAATAATAATTAAATAATTCCTTTTTCTTTTAAAGAGACATTTTTGCTATAGGGCACATGTGCACACCAGGGAGACAGAAAGTGAGAAATCACCTCCTCTCCCAGGGAGGATGGCCATGCAACAACCCCTTCTCTGCCCTCCTCTCAGGACCTTGGGCACACACGCAGTGCCCGGCATGAGTTTTAAGCCACCGAGTCTTGGACTCAAACCACGGTTGACCACATGGTAGTCGAGCTATTTAACCATTACACCATCTGCTGGTCCCAGTAAATAATTACTTAAAAAAAAAAAAAAAAAAAGATTTGCTATAAGGTACATGTGCTCAGCAGAGACACACAGAGCAAGAGAATGTGAGGAAGCAAGCAACCAGGTCCAGGACGCAAACGATGAACAGCCACATGGCAGTCTAGTGCATAAACCACCATGCCACCTGCTGGCCCCAATAAATAATTATTTTTAAAAAAAAAGGACCCCCACATGGCAGACTGCTTTCTTTTTTTCTTTCTTTTTTTTTTTTTGGTACGTAGCGCTTGTCTTTGGACCCCCACATGGCCAACCACGGTTCCAAGCCCCGACCCAGTGGCTTAAAACTCATACCAGGCACGTGTGCATGTGTGGCCTAAGAGCCCAGGAAGAGAATGGAGAAACAATTATTGCAGTGTGGCCATCCCGGGGTGGGGGTGATTTTCACGTCCGCCCTTATGGTCTCTGTGTCTCCCTCGCCAGTGAGCACATATGCTCTAAGGAAAATCCTCTTTAAAAAGGAAAAGAAAAAAATCATCGCAGTACACGTGCGCGTGCCCGAAGCCCCAGGACACTGGAGAAGGGACAGCGGCGTGCCCACGTCCTCCACGGGTGATTTCTCACTTTCCCTGTCAGTCTCTCCTTTTCTCGCAGATGAGCACCCATGCCCTGTGACAAAAACCTTGGGAATGTTTGAGAACAGAGGAACAGGGCCGTCCTGTGGCCTGGGGTAAAGGGAGCAGACCCAACATGGCCACCTGCACAAGTCAGGACGAGACTCGGTGTTTGAGAGACACACTCCGAGCACGTGTGCACACGCCCAGGTGTGACTGCAGTGTGACCATGCCCCGCTGGGGCCACTGTCCCCGCTCTGTATGTGTCTGTCCCTCTCTCTGGTGCACACACGCCCTCTAGCAAAGTAAAAAAAGAAAAAGAAACCTGAGGGCCAGCCAGCGGTGTGAGGCAGATCAGCTGGGTCCTTCACGGCAGACTGCACGGTTCTGCGGACCCAGGGGCTTAAAAAGCATGGGGAGAACAGAGGAGAAGGACTGCGGTGTTAGCAGCTCTCTTACCTCCCCACCCCTTGGCGAGTACACACATCCTAGAGCAAATCAAAAGTAAAAGAAATACACTTTAAATTTTGAATTTTGACAAAGTGGAAATTAAGGATTATAAATAATTTTTCCAGGACAGAAACAGAAAAAAGGGTGTGCATGGGTGAGCTTCCACAGTAACCCTGACTCCACACCTTCATGACCTGCATTTTCTTTTTCTTGGAGAGGTTTTTGCTATAAGGCGCGTGCGCTTGCCAGAGAGAGACATAGAGACAGAAAGTGAGAAATCACCCCCAGGGGGGATGGCCACACCGCAATCCCTTCTCCTCCATTTTCCTCTTGGGATCTTGGGCACGCACGCACATGCGCCCGGCGTGAGTTTAAGCCACCGGGTCCAGGACACGAACCGCGATCGACTACGTGGGAGTCCAGTGACATAGCCATTACGCTAACTGCTGGTCCGTCGACTTGCATTTTTTTAGTTTTTTGTGTAACAGAGACACTGAGAGGGAAAGTGAGAAATCACGGCAGGGGGACGGTCATGCTGCGATCTCTCCTCCATCCTCCTCCTGGGATCTTGGGCACCTACACACACGCACACATGCCCAGTGCGAGCTTCAAGTCACCAGTCCAGAACCCGCACTGCTGCTGGCCACGCGAGAGTCCTGCGCCTCAACCCCCGCGCCCCGTACTGGCCTCCGTGGCTTGTATGCTTTTCAGCTCATTCGAGCTCAACCTTCTCAGAGCCAAGGCCACACAACGGGCTGACCCGACGGCTGAGGCCGCCCACATCACACCAGCCAGACTGGGACTGGGGGCCCCACTCCGGGTGAGACCGCGGTCCACATCACACAGGCCAGACTGGGACTGAGGGCCCACTCCGGGTGAGGCACCACGGCCCTCCACATCACACAGGCCAGACTGGGACTGAGGGCCCCACTCTGGCTGAGGCCGTGGTCCACATCACACCGGCCAGACTGGGACTGGGGGCCACTACGGGTGAGACACCACGGCCGCCCACATCAGCGCCCAATCTTTTCCACTTCTTCTGTTTGCAAACGTAACGACTATGGCAACCACCGTCTCTGGTTTCTAGGCTTATTTTAGTAACACTGAACCAAGTCTCTCCTAATTTATTACATTAACTTTCTAGTCTTAATTCAATGACTTGAGTACTGTGATCAGCCGGGCAGACAGCATGTATCTCACTACGACGAGATCAAGGAGAGCAGCCAGCCTTCCAGGCACACACCTGGTAGTTAGGGTTGTCAATCATGGGGGGTTTCCATTTGCCCTTGTAACTGGGGTTGTCGATCATAGGTCGCTGCCAGACTCCACAGCCAGGGGCCGACTCGCACTTAGGGTTGGCGATCTGAGGAGCCTCCCACTCGCCATCCATGTCCTCGTCCCTGCAGAGACAGAAACAGGTCATAAGAGGCTCTGCGATTCCTCACCCCTGCAGAGACAGAAACAGGCCATAAGAGGCTCTGCGATGAGGACTCGGGGCACCAGCAGGACAAGCTACCCCTGGGTCCCTGCAGGACGCTGTGCAGTGCCGTGCGGAGAGCACCGCCTTCTCACTTCTCTGTCCAGCAACGGCAGCTTTTCATGGCAAATACATTAAAAAAAGAAAAAAGATGAAAATGTAACTAAATTGGTTAAGTTTACCCTCAGGTTTGGGTACTCAGCTAAGTTTTACAACTTTGACAAAACACAGGTCATTTAAAAGGTCAGCCATGGGCCAGCAGATGGCGTGGTGTTTGGGATGCTGGACTCCAACGTGGCTGACTGCTTCCAACCCTGACCTGACAGCTTACTTTCTTACTTTCCCTCTCTCTGTCCTTCTGTTTCTCTCCACTGAACACATGTGTCTTCTAGCAAATTAAAAAATAAGTAAACTTAAATAAATAATTCTTAAAAAAAAAAGAGAGAAGAACAAAGGCCGCTGAAGCCCTTACCAATCGTCTGGCCTCTCTGCATCCGGGTCGGGCACGTACTCGGGCTCGCCGTCCAGCCAGCCGTCAGGCTTTGTGGCCTCTTCATCTGGAATCTTAGCAGGGGCATCCTCATCCCTTCAACACAGAAAAAGCTGGTCATGGCAGCCCTAGCCAGAGAAGGACAAGGTAGTCCTGCCGTGTGAGGCTGACAGAGCATTCTAGAAATATCTTGGTCTTAATCTCAAATTTTACACTCCTCATAGAAAATCTCTGTAACCTATGTATCTGATAAGCGTCTCCTGAAAGAACTCTTTCAAACTACTGAAAAATCAGCAGAAGATTTCCATAACGACATGACTAATAAGCATATGAAAAATGCGGTCATTAGCAATCAAGGAAACGCAACTCCGAGTCAGGACGAGGTCTGGAAACGGCGAGGGTGTGTATGGACAAACCGAGCCCCTGGACGCTGCTGGCAGGAAAAGCAGCAGCGCGGGCTGCTTTGGGAAGGGTCTGGCAGCTCCCGAATGTGGGCGCAGGGACCGTGTGGCCAAGCAATTCCACCCATGAAAGGAAAGGATGCATTTACGCAACACCCGCAGATGTTCACAGCCTCAGCCATGACTGCAGTTGCATGGGGAGCCAGCTCGATGCCATCCCAGCCAAACCCGGCGGCGTCTACATGGTGGAGTCGGAGCCATGACACAGAGGACTGGGTCAGGCTTCACAGGCCGTTCACGCATTAATGCTAATGAGAAATACCAGATGTAAGTGGCCACGCGTTTTCTGATTCCCTCACAGGAATGTCCAGACCAGGCAAATCCAGAGGGGCGGATCAGGGGTTGGTGCAGGTGGAGAGAGGTAGCAGTAGGGAGTGACTGCTGACAGGGAGCAAGCTCCTTTTCCAGTGACTGTCCTGAACCC